TCTCCATGTGAAAACTATCTGCAACACAGATTCGAACTGAAAGCACCGCTTTAAAGGGAGGCATAACCGATTCCTTCAATAGTCACATGCATTATATGCATTATACACTTCAGCTAGAGGTGGGAAACACCTCAGCTACTGTGCCACAATACATAAGTTAAAAAGGGAAATAAATACAAAAGTTGCATGCCAGCTGAGCTACCAGCAACGGATAGACAACGTCCCGGTAAGCTGCCAGTCGGCTACTAGGCAAAAAGAAAAAATAATTGTGTTTTGCGCTAAGAAATGAGATCGTAGGTAGAGGGGGAGGCTAAAAGGGATGGGGAGGGACAAAGAAACTCACAGCACGAACGCCACTGAGGTCGGCTTCTTGCCATGTCAGCAAGTGTATCCAGCCAAATGTGTTCACCTTCTTTTGGACCCCAACCAGGGAGGCGTGACACTCCAACCGAGGCCAGCTTAGAAGTGAGGGCCTTCATTCCTCTTAACCAAGTCATCGCGTGGCCACCTCTCCTCTTCTTCCACCCACATCCCCGGTGAGCAAACAACGCACGTCGTGGAAGTCGGTGGGCTGGCATGCGTAACACGTGGCCGAGCCATCGGAGCCTGGTGTGTGAAATAACGGTGCTGAGCGGTTCAGTTCGTTTTCCTGTGCCGTAAACTAGGCGTCGAACACGTTCGTTACTCACCTGGTGTTCCCACTAGAGGTGAGCTAAATTGCGAAGGCACCGTTGGTCGAACGTAACTAGCCTCTATGTCCGCCGATCTTACGGGCCAGATTTCGCAACCGTACAGTAAGGTCGAACGTACCGCTGCATTGTGCACTCTACCCTTCAGGGCGAGAGTAATGTTGCGCCGCCGCCATAGGTGACGAAGGTTAGCAAAAGCACTTCGAGCTTTTGCTATACGGTTCGTGATCACGTCTTCAATCCCAAGGGCGCTGAAACAACTTCCCAGGTAGTTGATTTTCCGAACGACTTCTAGCTGATCCCCACCAAGGGCCAGCGCAGGTGGCGATCCCTGCTAATCTTGGAGGAACCCTTTGCATTTCGATGGTGCAAAGCAAAGGCCGGAGCGGCGGATAGCCAATGCTAATCTGTCCAGCGCGGCTTGGCACGTCTGGGAGCTGTCACACATGAGGGCAATATCGTCCGCATACTCCAAGTCGAGAAGTCGTTCTTCTGGGAGTAGCTCCACACCTTCCAAATCATGTCCTGTAAATGCAATCTCCATGACTTCGTCAATAGCGAAGTTGAAAAGGAAAGGTGACAGCGGGCATCCTTGTCTCACACCGCTGGAGATATTGAAGGGTGGCGACAGCTTGCCGTAAACCCTCACTCTGCCCGAGCTACGCGCGTATAATGCTCGGATAATATTTACATATTTCTCGGGCACACTTTTCCTGAGTAGACAATTCCAAATGGCACATCGGTCAACCGAATCGAAGGCACCTTCGATGTCGAGGAACACGACAACGGTGGGCCGCCTATATGTGTGACGGTGCTCCAACAACTGACGCAAGGTGAAGCTGTGGTCAATGCAGACAGGACCCCGGCAAAACCTGGCTTGCTCCATCACGAATCTGACTTCCACGAGCGCCAGTCAGTCTGTGAAGGATTATAGAGGCGAGTAATTTGGAGGCGATGGAGATCAGACTGATTCCTCTATGGTTGCCGCATTCCGAACGCGAGTCTCCTTTGAAAATGGGAACAATAACGGAGCGACTCCAGTTGGTTGGGACAGTCTCCTGCTCCCACAATTTCACTAGTAATTCATGTAAAGCATCAACAAGAATAGAGCCTCCGAATTTGAAGACGGCTGGAGGTAGATCATCTGGTCCCGCGGCTTTGTTAAGCTCCAACAGTCCGATCTCACGTTTGACTTCTGAGCGAGAGGGCGGGTCCATAGGGACAGCCTAGGGAGCAGGACGATCACTGGCCGGTGAGCAATCGAACAATTCTAGCCAATTAAATTGCTTTTCAAAATGTTCAGCCCAACGCTCCAAGCGTTTTGACAAATTGTGGATAGGCTATCCACTCTCGTCACGTATGGTTTCACCAACACTAGGTCTCCTGTTGCCCGTTTCCCGTATCAGACGGAATAACTTGCGATGGTTATCAAGGGCAGCGGCCACTTCCATCTCTGACGCACGAAGAGACCACCAAGATTCGCGGTCTCTCTTCAGGCTAGCACGGAGTTTTGTCCGGAGCTCTTTGCGAGTTTCATTGTGTTCGCTTCCAGCCGGAATATGCCGACGAGCATCGATAACTTCTAGAGACTACGAAGAGACCCAATGTCCATGTTGGCGATTAGACTGATCACATGAGGATTTGCCTGCTGCTAGTAAGGTCTGGTGAATATGTGACCAGTGACCATCAATTGTCACAATAGTCACAAGACCGACACTGGCTACTAGGCTGCAAGCAGGCCGCTTCGTTCATTCAACTTCAGTCCCAGTACTGTTGAACGCGATCTCCGGATGAGTCATCAAGACGTGACTTGATTTATCCAAAAACCGATTGATGGACAGCGGCGCTCATGTGATTGGAACACGTGGATAACCTGGCAAGTTTGTCGTATGCCTGTATTTGTGTTTTGTGCCCAGCGCCTGGGTTGATATTGCATACGTCTTGCCCCCCGTTGCTACATTCGGCCGATGGCGGCTCCTCAAGGGAAATCGCGGTTCACGGGGCAGCCCTGTCTTCCACACGTTGGAAAGCTACACGAAAACGGTTTCTTAGTATACACGCTTTGTCACAGCTATCTAGGGAATTGTTGCCACCATTCATCCCTCGTGGCTTTGTAGTCGTAATCACTCATCCGTACTAGTAGGATCTTTGTTCCTAGTCCCAGAGAGAAAGTGTACCACCGTTCACTGCTCTTCCGGATGTGCAGTGACTGACCAACTATAGCTGGGACGGATCTCCCTCAACATGCAACTAAATCCCACCTAAAATCGGTAATTACTCATGTTGGCTAACGGACAATGGCAGTTTAGCAAGGAAAGCTCGCTGTTCAAGGGATCAGTCCTATTCTTTGCACGATACAAGCGTGCCTAACAACGGAAGATGACTATGTGTGCTATATCACAGCTGCTTTCCGATCTACCTTCTTCTTGTCGTTTACCTTTGTCCTTTAGCCTATTTTTCAATTCACGTCAATTGACAAGCGTTCACCACTGTGACTCAGTAAGGTTTGGGTGTGTACGCGCCAGCAAGGGTTATTAACAATGCCATCATCTGCGCCCGCATTGACTATCTCGACCAGATTATCATGGTTCAGAGCTGCCGCCTGACTCCGTTGTAATAAGCACACGTCGTCAGACACATCAAACACTGATCAGACAGACCATATTCCTTACTCATATGGGCGCATGGATACGTGAATGCTATCAGCCGACACACGACCCATCATTCACTTATTCCTTGGCCCGTTCTACGAGCTGACTGATTTCTACTGATTGAATCTCTCCTTCTCTCAATGTCCACTTGCACTTCCGTACCGCACGGATTAGAACCGTATAGGTGTCTAATAAGTTTCATCTTGTGGGAACATCCAGAGAACAGCCAAGTCGCCAAATGAGGTACAACAGGTACCATTCGTTGTTGAGCAATAAGGTGGGTCGCATACGGTACATAGTGCGCGCTTTATCCGCAGATCTTTGCATGATTGGCTGACTAGCTCTATTTTTTATTCAAGTTTTATGCGTTAGCAACGTGTCCGTCCATTAGGTGCGTTTGTTTCACTAGTGTTCCTGTAGGTTGCCGGATGTGAGTCTATACACGCTGGTCCATTGCGTTGCTCCTGCATTCTCGTTGCACCGTTGTCAGTGTTATGGTCGATGTGGCAAATATTGTGCCTTCGCGCTTCAGCCGGGCTAATGTGTTGACAGACGTTTATCCCAGGTGATTCGTCAAACCCTTACGCACTCGATGCAGATATCAATAAAGTACATCCACTTCCTATGCCGCCATCTCAGTTACTGGCTTCAGAAGACCACTGATCGTCGCTGGAGTAGTCGGCGTGTATCGTATTCGGGACAGTGCTGGTCTCAAAGATTGATTTCATCGTGGAACTGGTTACGACCCAACCATCGTTCTGCTTTCCTTCGTTATATGACACACATGGGTCCCCAAAGTTAACATCAGTAGTGTGTGTGTCTGGAGCAGCCACAGTGGCACGCGACTCGCAAAACAAGTGTGTGCATGTGTACGCACGGGCGCATATGCCGGCACCATACGACCAGGCGCAGCAATCTTCCTCGAGCCTGTCTGTTACTGTGGTCGGATTTAGGGGTCACATCCGGATCACTTTGTATTATCGTCATTCGTATGATTGAGACCGTTCACTATGTGGATCGGATAGATGGCCATTTCTAAGTCGACCCAGGCCCCATCAATGAAAATGCCACTTATTTGAGCGGTTAACCCCGGCCTCTCTTTCTTTTCGATATGATTGAGTTTCTGCTAATTAAGAAATTCATCAAATCTCGATTATTACGCATACACAAGACAATGTACGATCACTATTTGACCCTGATAAGGTAGCACATCCTTATTCAAGCCGGTGCTTGGCGGTTCTTTTGTTATTTTGACTTTACTTCTTCTTTTGCCGCTTGTTTTGTACGATGCATAATCACAAATGGTTCGGGATGTTCGTTGGGACGTCTTTGAGTTTCAGCCTTCTTCTATTCACCGTGTCCCACAGGGCGTGTCGGTATCGACCGGATGTGCTCCAGAGCCAAATTTCTCTAAAATGTCCACGAGGTTATCAGTCTACCTCACTTTATCCTTACGACACTGCTCACGTCACTGGACCCCATATTCGCAGATCACCTACTCTTCCAAACAGTCTAGAGCTACACTGTTCTTCGGACAAGCAAGAACTTGGCAACAGTTCCCAACTTGTTGCATTTTCTACTAAGTCGTATCATTTCTCCATACTTCATCTGATCGTGTCTAGTCCATCTTTGGCGTTTTTCTTTTCACATCATTTTACAGCTGTGCACCGAACTCTCATCGACTCGTTAAGGACCACATTCGTGTGGCTCGTCAGCATGGTTATCTACTACTCCACTCATGGCCGGTATGGGGAGCCGTTTGATCTATCCTGGGGCCTAATACAAAGTAAGTTTAAAGTAAAGTATTCCATCTATAATTCCAGAGAATAAAACCGAAAGACTTACCTTGAGGTACCGGTTTTTTCGTGCATTCTCATCCATCACAAACATGCAATCAGACCATATGATATCGACAGCTGCCCAATCGGGGCTCCTCGCACCACCATGGCAGATTTAGGTTAGCAGTCAGCTGTTTTTCCACACAGACCTGTGACCATTCTCAATCGATAACAGTGGTTTTCTGTAGCATGGGTATGTGGCGCCACTGATTGCGCATTAGGACGATGAATGATTTTTCGGGTTGTGATTACCGAGACAGCTTGGTTTCTTTCTTTCACACGATTCCGCCGTCACATATCCCATATGGTTGTGTAACCATTTAGAGATGTGTTTATTGATATTGGCAACTAAACTTCGTTCACTAGGCCCAACCTAACTTGTACCGCAGCTACTGGTGAATTTGTATGGACGATGGGACATGTGTTATTTCGTCGTGAATGTCTTAATCAAGCACATAAGCAGAGGTCTTGTCGACTTGAGTAACCGTAGTTCGGCTGCATTGTACCCACTTTTCACTGAAGCACTTATTCTATTCACCGTGGCTTTTATAATGTAGTCAGTCACCTTTGCACTGCTTCTTTTAGACTATTGTCCCTTCAATCTCGCTTCGCCATATCACTAAAGTGCTTTATGAAATGCAACAGGTAGCTATTGGATTCAAGTGTATCAGACAGCAGATGTCTCTCTGCTTTCATTGTGTTTTGGATACAAGTGTGGTTGGGCCCATATCTCTCTCTCTCTCGGGGTCGTGTAGACGTGCGTGGGGTCCACTTTTGCTATAGCCTCTTGATTCAGCTCGCGCGTAGAAGACGTTTGGCGACGGAGTCTCACCGGTTGTACGAATCGACGTCTATCAGCTACTTTTCCGTGCGTGTATACGATCTGCGAGACATGCTTTTCGACTAGGGGAGTTGTAACAACTAGACCTTTATAACAGACTAGCTCTTTGGTGGTCGTGAAATGTACCTTTTGTGCTCTTCAGGTTTCCTCATGCAGTTTGGTCTGTACACAGATCTGTACACTCTACACATTTGTTTTTGTATCTGCATTCGGATGTCTTTTCTAAGACTATGAAACCCTGCAACTGCACCAGCGTCAATCGTAACGCTTATGCCTCGGAGTTAGCCGTGTCTCCCGTTCATTTCCTAATTTGCATGGCATTAGGGGAGACTTGCCCCGCTGTATCCCAGTTGGCTTATAAGCCATGTGATCGTCTGCCTTTATGACCCAGTGACATAACTCGTTGGCCTCGGTGGGAGCTGCGCAGCACTGACGAACCACCATTGGACAAGCCCTGTTCCAGTGCCTTTCCGTGCGCGTAGCAGGATGTCTGGCTCATAGCTGCTGTGAAGAACATTTAATAAAAACCTTAAAATAAGTCTAAAAAGCTTACGACTGCCTAAAATTTTCTATTCCTGTGGTTGTTGAATACATTAACTCAGCATACTTGGGAAGTCATTTTGACACATATCTCTGCATTCGTTAATCGTTGTGTCTCATCCATTTTGCCCATTTGTTAATCTCACTCTCCCGACCCTTTAAACTTCAGTCGATGGATTCACTTTCCTCGTCATTGGTACCCTCATCTACAACAAGGTCATGGATCTCACCTTCATTCCGTGTTGTTCCGACCGAGTCGATGAGCCCCTGGTGGTCACTACGGTGGATGTGGAACCGGTGTACTCCACAGAGGAGTTTATACACCCACCTCCCACAGACGAGCAAACTCCAATAAGTTCTTCAAGTCAAAAGCACTACGGTGTGAATAACCGATCCGCATAACTTCACGACAACATATTATGTGACTTGGACAATCGACAAACACTTATGGCCCACACTCTTGTTTGATCTTTTTTGTACTCTAATCGAAACCCTATGAATCCCGAATGCCACGGTTTACTTGCTACCGCGACTCTTAATAATTTCGCTTTATGCCACACGTAACTTGATTTTTCCTACCTCCCACTTTTTTAACCCACCTTCTTGACCATTGCTACTTATTCTGATTTTTTTTTACTTTTATTTCCTCATGGGGAATTCGGTTAGTTGCTCACGTATTGTCATGGTTGGCAGCAACTAGCGTTCTTCGAACCATGCATTTTCACATTTGTTGCTAGCACCACAAGCTATTGCAAATCGCTTGCCAGCAAATGCGAAAACAGCGAAGGGTGCTTCAGCGATGTACTTACTGATTGATTACTAATAAAGTCTAACAGATTTTCCAGCTGTTGGTGCTGATCTTGTTAGGAAAACCTCAAACGTGCGCCCTCCGCCTACCTTAAAGGTCACCACCTTTGTCCCTCTTACCGGAATTTTCCGTAACCTCACTTCAGCCACTGTCATCTAATAACGATGTGTCAAGGTCTATTTTGGCCTTCAGTCTTCATTATGCTCGTGTATCGTTCAGAAGTTCGTGTGTTTATCAGTAGTATTCATCCAGAGTTGCTCCTATCCGTAGCGCTTAGCATAGCGTGTTGAGGCTCGTGTGGACTCAGCCGTTGGGTTGGACCACGGGAGCAGCATCTAACTGTATACCAATAGACATAACCCCACAACACATGCTTGATAGCAACAAAAGAAGAAAGCAAAAGGACTGTCAGCTGGGAAAATCTTGTAATCTATCCACCATTGAGTACGATTCAGGACAATATCTGATAGCGTCTGCAACGGGGTGTATACGTGGTCTTTGGGCCTCCCAACCCTGGAATCGGAAACACCCTACGGAAGCTAAGCTAGATGTCTGGACCTTGACGTTTTGAGCCCAACTTGTTACTTGGCCACTTTTTCTTCCCTTGCAAACACGGGACCTTAAAGGTCTGCCCATCTTCAAGAGTCTGCGTTACCTTCCATAATTTCAGAAGCTGGCGATACTCGGAGTGTTTAATGAACGCCAGCGACGCCTACAGGATGTGCTTATGAAGATGTGCTAGACATTGAATTATCGAAGTCATGGTCTTCTTCCTCTGTCAAAGTCCAATCCCACCACTAACTTGAGGTAAAGCGGTTGAAGTTGAATGAGTCTTATAGCCGTCTGGAATTCGATTAGCACGACTTTACCTTTCGGGTCGGCGAGTGTTGGAGCGCTCTTCTAAACTCTGATCTGGGCTCTCATGTTCGCATATTGCATGTAGGGCTCAGTATTTTGTTACCTAAATCCTGGCACTGCTATTTTGAAGAATGAACCACACGGATCTATGGAAATCATTACTGGCAAGTGAGCACTATTTTTCCAACACGATACATTAGTTGGAATATACCATTTCACCATTTTGTACGGTTCAACTCGGTTTCCAACCCCCTCGTTCGTCGGGACATGTTAAGTCAATATAAGCTTTATGCAAAATTATTTTCAGCAATTTTCACTAATACTGCTGACATACTGCAAAAAAAGAATCGGTGGGAAAATGAAGTGCAGGGATACGAATAACCGAAAGAGTTCATTTTCAGGTAAACAAACGTCGTCGTAATTGATGGATGCATCATCACTTTTGGGTCGACTATTAAGCGAGATAGGTAAGGCAAAACGGAGTTGCGATGCGCAGCGGTATGGGAAAATCGCACATTAAATTTCCACCGCGTATGCCATATTTGCTAGGACAATGTATAGAGATTGAGTGGGGTCATTTAAAGTATTGGATGCAAAGTTAAAGCATACGTCAAAATGCTTGCGAACGAGGGCTTCTTCGCTTACTCCGTAAGACCGGAAAACCAATTTCAGGGATTGCGCAAGAACAGTATAACCCTAGTGAGGAAGTCCGGGCAATAGTACCACCAACAGTGGCGATTGCGTACATTTACAAACTTTAGAATTAGAGCACGCTGCGCAAAGAGCCATTTCAACATGATGGAGTGAAAGGATACATTATACACACACGTTAGCTAGAGGTGGGAAACACCTCAGCTACTGTGCCGCAATACCTAAAAGAAAAAAGGGAATACAATGCAACAGGTGCAAGCCAGCTGAGCTACCGGTAACGGATGGGCATTGTTCCGGTAAGCTACAGCCGGCTACTATGCAGCAGAAAAAAGTAATTTACTGTGCAAAATTATAAAATGCTAAATAATGTGATCGTGCTTGGAGGGGAAGGCTAAGAGGGGTGGAGTGGGACAAAGAAACACAGCACGAACGCTCCTAGCCATATCAGCAAGTGTATCCAGCCAAACTTGTTCATCGTCTATCGGACCCCAATCAGGGATCCGAGGCCAGCTCAGAAGTGAGGGCCTTCATTCCTCTCGACCAAGTCCTGGCTTGGCCACCCCTCGTCTTCTTCCACCCACACCACCGGTGCGCAAACAACGCACGTCGCGGGAGTCGGGGGGCTGGCATGCGTAACACGTGGCGGAGCCTGGTGCGTGAAATAACGGTGCTGAGCGGTTCAGTTCCTTTTCCTGTGCCATAAACAATGCGCCGAACATGCTCGTTGCTCACGCGGTGTTCCCACCAAATGTGAGCTAAATTACGACGGCACCGGTGGTCGAACGTAACTAGCTTCATTATGTCCATGGATTAAATTTTGCACAATAATCTGCCTCAACAGGGAATCGAACCCCGGACCCACGGATTACCGGTCCGTGGGTCCGGGGTTGGATTCCCCGTCGAGGCCGAATATTGTACAAGTTTAATCGTGCCTTCTACTTTCTACGAAAACTACACTACTCACAAAAACCACCAGTACTTTACCATCGCGTTTGAACATCAGGAGGGCAGATACTTCGGTTCATTGGAAGTGACGAGTGAACTAACCAATCTGCAACACCAGGACAGATACTGTGAGCTTATTAACACTACGTCGCGAACAAAGCAGAAGTCACGTATTAAATTGCGCACCTTGTCGTCAGCCATCGGTGGCTCATTGGTGGCGCAGCGGACCGTGGGTCCGCGCTTCGATTCCTTGTCGAGGCAGGTTATTGTGCAAAGGTAAATCATGGCTTCTACTTCCTACGAAACTTGCACTACTCACAAAAACCACCAGTAATTTACATACTTCTTGGGCACACCTTTCCTGTGTAGATAGTCCCAAAGTGATCTATCCACCGATCCGAATGCACCTTTGGTATCGAGGACCATGACAACGGTGGGCCGCCAATATATGTGACCGAGTTCCAACAGCTGACGCAAAGTGAAGATGTGGTTAATGCTGCCACGAGCTCGGCGTAACCCGGCTTGCTCTTCACGAATGTGGCGTTCACGAGCGCCATTCAGTCTGTAAAGGATGACAAAGGCAAGCAACTTGGAGGCGATGGAGATCAGACTGATTCCTCCATGATTTTCGCATTTCGAGCGTGAGCCTCGCTTGAAAATTAGGGTTATAATGGAGCAACTCCAGTCAGTTGGGACAGTTTCCTGCTCCCACAGTTTCACTAGTAACTCGTATAAATTATCCACAAGAGCAGGTCCCCGAATTTGAAGAGGGTTGAAGGAAGATCATCTTATCCCACGGCTTTATTTATCTTCAACAGTTCGATCTTACGTTCGATTTCTGAGCGAGAGGGTGGATCCAAAGGGACATCCCAGAGAGCGGAGCGATCAGTGGCCGGCGAGAAATCTAATAATTCCGACCGATTAATTTGCCTTTCAAAGTGTTCAGCGCAATGCTCCAAACGTTTTGACAAATTGTGGATAGGCTGTCCACTCTCTTCACGTATAGTTTCACTAATCCCCGGTCTCCGGCTGCCCGTTTTCCGTATCAGCCGGAATAACTTACAATGGTTACTAAGGGCAGCGGCCATTTCCATCTCAGAAGCACGTTGAGAGCACCAGGATTCGCGGTCTCTCTTCAGGCTGGCACGGAGTTTTGCCCGGAGCTGTTTGCGAGTTTCATTGTATTCGCTTGCAGCCTGAATATGCCGGCGAGCATCGATAAATTCCAGAGACTGCGAAGAGACCCAATGTCCATGTGGGCTATTAGACTTACCACATTGAATTTGCCTGCTGCTAGTAAGGTCTGGTGGATATGAGACCATTGAGCGGTTACTCAACTCGCATGTCAGCGTACTTGGATAGGCATTCAGAACAGCTGGTTTCGCTTGTCGGTTGGTGTGAAAGGATAGGCTTTTAACATTTTGAAAAGTTTCAAGCACATTTGTTGACCAAGATGAACTGTAAGACAAAAAGCACCGAGACACTACGGTATGTAAACGAGGAATGCTTTGGTGACTTATGACCGAAAGTTTAGAGGTGTTTAAGTATGAACGCAATCTGTCGGAGCCGAGAAAATCGAATGTGACATCACGACACTTAGAAAGGTTAGGGAAGTGAGAGCGGGAGCTTGACCAAGTCAAGAGTTCGTCTGATCCTCGTTGGAGTTTCAAAGATTCCCCAATTACTGAGGTTTTACACCCCTCTTCTTTAATATCAGCTTCACTCTATGGATAAACATATTTTACTTTTTGTAATTCTTACCCTGACCATCATAAGGAACTTGTTAAACGTCCCCCTTTTATCCGTAATAAACCATTTTTCACCATGCGGAACATTCTCGGCGATCTGTAGAGAACAGTCCGAGGCAAACAATTATTTTCAATGATTCGTCTACGTGCCGGTACTAATCATATGTGGTCAACAAGGTTATGCAGTGATTGGTTAAAACACTTATTCCGACAGGGGAAGGACAATTGTTAGATAGCAGATAGTTCGCCATTGTCTTCTCACAGATCGATTGGGGGTTACTTAATAACACTGCCGGAACCGATGTCAGGCTGACGGCTAGGTCGACAAACATACCCGTGTTTGGAATCTTCGGATCGCACAGGTTTCTACTGTGACGCACATTTTT